TTCAGAACTGTCACCGGTGTTGGTGGTGACGTGTCGTATATCAGCTGTTGTTACTTCCTGTAGGCGTGGTCATCGGATCATTGGATCGGAAAACAACAAGTTCAAACGCTGGATCAAGGAGGCCATTGAAATCAGGAAACGAGGCACGGACAGCATTAACCGTGATGATGGCACGTTCCTCCTTTCACACACCTGGGACACCCTCCTCCAGAGACACCGGGCGACGGGAGGCGTGGTCAGTCTGAGCGACCTGCCAGGTCCATCAGGCTGACCACGCCTACAGGAAGTAACAACAGCTGATATTCGACACGTCACCACCAACACCGGTGACAGTTCTGAAGATGGCTTGCAGCTAGCAGCCGAAACATGTCAACAAGGTAAATACACTTTACTGCATTGTCTTTAAAAAGAACCCAAGAAGTTAAAATAAACTTCTCGCGCGTAAGACGTCCAGTTGGTCTCCAGCCTTTTGCTTCCACCCTTTCTTCTTCGACAACAGTTCCTACTCTCACCTACAATCGTGAGCTTTGGGTAATGACAGAAGGAACAAAATGGTGGATACAAGTGGTCAAAATGAGTTTCCTCAGCTCGGTGACTGGACACTCCCTTCGAACTTTAAGGTGAGGAGCTCAGTCACACGGGAAGAGCTGACCCTGCGTTCGATTATCTTACAACTCTCACTTGGACCTCGGTTTTGATGTCACGTCCGAGCTTGAAGCGTATTATTGTTTTTCACGTGTCGGATTTGAAGAGTCTCACCGCAACACCAACTACCAAACCTGGAGGCAGTGATAGGGACACGGTAGAGGTGAGATCGGCCTAAAAATCCAGCCCGACCCGACCCGGCCCGCGGGTATTAAAACCCGACCCGGCCCGAGCCCGACCAATAACTTGCAGGCCCGAGCCCGAAGCAAACCCGAAATGTCATATTTTATTTGTGACTCGGGAGGAGGAGCAGTGCTCAGCGTCGAGGTGCCAGTCTTTTGCTCTCGTATCAAAGCAAAGCGCCACTTGACGACATTCAGCGAAGCCAACGCAAGTTTCTGTAGCATTTTCAACAATCAATTTGAAGCTTTTCCACACCTCACTCTTACCGGTGCGTGTTTGTCTTTTTCAGTTCTCCTGCCTTTAGTTTAACTTCTTGCTCCTCCATATTGGGGACACCAGGTCAAAATAGATGCAGACTTGCAGAGGGGAAGATTATTAAATGAAGAGGGGGCGTTCACGTGCGCAGAGCTCTGGCTCTGCGGATCCTGTTTAGTAGTTAAATAGCAATTACATTACATTACTTCTCTGTTTTATCCATATTATTTATTTTATAACAAGTATTCCTTAGTTTAGTATCCACACATCGTTTTAGCATACATTTTATAAACATATATTTATTTGAAGAGACCCGACCCGAAGTAATGATTGACATTTAACCCGAGTCGGGTCGGGCTTGGGCTCGGTCTTAAGATCTTACCTCTAGGACACGGTAAGGTACTGCAGTAATACGAGTGACTAAAATTGTCATTTAAAGCACCAAAGTGTCCAAACGCAATGGAAACAGTTCATATTTACACGTCACAGTGGGTGGAGCTATCTCGGATTCTGACTCTGACTCCTTGCTTGGTGTATTTTTTCTGCCACCGAGTTCCAACTTCCTCGGAAAACCGATTCGGAAGGCTAATCGAACGCAGGGTCAGAGCAGTAGGGAGGTGTTCATGTCCCATTGGGAGGAGGGACTGTCACTGGGCTGGCCTGGGAACACCTCAGAATCCCTTCGGAAAATCTGGATGGAGAGTGCGTGGAAAGGAACGTGTGGGCATCCTCAGATCCCGTCGGCGGATAAAGCAGAAGAGAATAGATGGAGGGATATTGTCATGGTGTCAGAGTCCCGCACGGGTTAGTTTTTGGAGACCCACACCCGCCCGTTAACCCGTGATTATATCAAAGTTAAACCCGCCTGGACCCATTAACATTCCACCCATTAATTGATAAATCAATTAAAACATTCTAACTGAAGCGTCCATCTGAATATGAATTAAAAAGTTACGATTTCAAGAATTACAATCACGAAATGAAATAAACCGGTTACTCTTTCTTCAGTATGAACATGAATTCACAGATGCGACTCGACTGTCATCACTTCACAGGCTTTATTTACTGATTGAGATGCTGGACTTTTGCGCCACACACGCCACGGACTGAACCAGGACTAACCTAGGACTGATTCCAGGACAGAACCAGGAGGATTAAACCAGGACTGGACCAGGACTGAACCAGGACTGAACCAGGATTAAACCAGGATTAAACCAGGACTGAACCAGGACTGAACCAGGATTAAACCAGGACTGAACCAGGACTGGACCAGGACTAAACCAGGACTAAACCAGGACAGAACCAGGATTAAACCAGGATTAAACCAGGACTGAACCAGGACTGAACCAGGATTAAAAACCAGGACTGAACCAGGACTAACCAGGACTAAACAGGACTAAACCAGACAACCAGACTAAACCAGACTGACCAAGAACCAGACTGAACCAGGATTAAACCACTGGACTAACCAGGACTGAAACCAGGACTGGACCAGGACAAACCAGGACAGGACAACCAGGACTAAACAGGACTAACTGAACAGGATTAAACCAGGACTGAACCAGGACTAAACCATTACTAAACCAGGAACCAGGACTAAACCAAGGACTGAACCAGACTGAACCAGGACTTAACCAGGACTAAACCAGGAACTGAACAGGACTGAAACCAGGACTAAACCAGGACTAAACCAGACTAAACCAGGACTGAACCAGGACTAAACCAGGACAGAACCAGGACTAAACCAGACTGGAACCAGGACTAAACCAGGACTGAACCAGAACTGAACCAGGAACTAAACCAGACTGGACCAGGACTAAACCAGAACTGAACCAGGATTAAACCAGGACTGAACCAGACTAAACCAGGACTGAACCAGAACTGAACCAGAACTAACCCAGAACTGGACCAGGACTAAACCAGGACTGAACCAGGATGAACCAGGACTAAACCAGGACTGAACCAGGACTGAACCAGGACTCACTGTTTGGACAGTGAACCCACACAGTCCGTCAAGTGACTACAGGCGACAGGACCACACAGCCGTCACCCGATCACGCTTTGCGGACACCCTGCTCTACGGGCTTGGGCTCTCTCTCTCTCAAGTCCAAGATTTGTCCTGGTTTAGTCCTGGTTTAGTCCTGACCCGCCCGCATACCCACCAGTAAAATTCTAGAACATTAAAACTCACCCGTTTCAGCAACTATTTGCTCGTACGCGCAGGTACCCGACCCAAGACTCTAGACTCTACATGGTGTTAACTTTCACTGAATTATCTTATTATTCTTGACCCTGTTTTATTTAGTTTTATTTCTCTAGCCACATGTGTGTTTTGAGTTTTACTTCCTGTTGTGTCCCTAACAGTGTTGGGAGTAACACATTATAAAAGTAATGTATTACAGTAATGCGTTGATTTTTGCTGTAACGCAGTAATGTAAGGCATTACAGGGGGAAAAAATTGTAATATTTTACTCGGTACAAATGTGAGTAACGCGCGTTACAAGTGCTTTTTTTAACCTGGATTGAAGTGGTGGGTTTTTCTTCATAGAAATTCGCTAAAATCACCATGAAATCAGCAGCGGTGAAAACGCCAGAGACGCGGCCGGACAGACCTTCAGTTGAACCGCGGGTGAAAGGACCGACCCAGAACTCTACGCTGTTTAGACCTGGTTTAGACCTGAGTCACTTCTGGTTTAGACCTGGTTTACAGTCGTCCCTCGCTCTAACGCGGTTCACTTTTCGCGGTCTCGCTGTTTCGCTGTTTGTTTGTTTTTTGTTTGTTTTTTTTTGTTTTTGTTTTGTGCAATTTTGCATGCCTTTTGTTTTTAGTGTATGAACACGTATTGCGTTCCTCCCGCTGTGTCCTGATCGGCTGAGGGACTCCTGTCTACTGTACAGTACAGAATGTGTTCAGCTGCCAAATTTAAATAAATGTTCAATCTGTATCAGTGTGATTCTGAAGTGCTGTATGTCTGCAAGTTTTCTATCCGACAAAATCCACAACGTCGATGAAACGTTCTGCACTGACAAAGGCTCCTGCGCTCACACCCAAAAGACAGAGGACGATGCAAACCATCACACAAAAAGTTGGACTTCTGGACACGCTGAAGGAAGGTAGAAGTTACGCGCTGTAGCAGAATCTTGCACCGGGTCTTGTACCCGCAAATAGTTGCTGAAATCAGGACCGTGAGCCCGAGCAGCAGCAGGGTCTGTCATAAAGAGCAGAGCCGCTCCTTTCTCCTGCGTCACCTTCGAGCCCGTCCTGACAGTGAGTCCTGTTTTAGTCCTAGTTCAGTTCTGGTTTAGTCCTCCTCTTCAGTCCTGGAATCAGTCTGAGGTTAGTCCTGTTATAGTCCTGGTTTAGTCCTGGTTCAGCTCTGGTTTAGTCCTGGTTTAGACCTTGTTTAGTCCTGGTTCAGTCCATATACGGCTCAAAAGTTCAGCTTTTTCGCAGTTATTTTGGTGAGAGTAACTTAAAGTAATGCAATAGTAATGTAATGCCTTACATTTTAAATGCAGTAATATTGTAATGTAACGAATTACTTTGAAATGACAGTAATAAGTAATAAATAACACATTACAGTTTTAAAGTAACTTGCCCAACAGTGATCCCTAACCTGTCTCACCTGTGTCTCATTCATTTGTTTGCATTTAAATCCTGTGTTCTCCTTTGCCCTTTGTTGGTTCATTTGTCATTGTCAGTTTCATGTCTATTTGGATTTTTGTGTTTGGTCTTGCGTTTTGGGTCCTACTTCTGCTCGAAACGTGACACATCCTTGGACACCGGTGTTGCTGAGAGACGACCGCACTAAAAACGATAATAAAAATAATAGTCCTTCTTTTTTTTTTCCTTCTTTGTTTCCTCTTTTGTGAAAAACAGTAGCGGCAGTGAATAATTTGTCATTTGTCGTCTCGTGCACTCACACACAGCACAGATTTCCTCTTCATTTCAGTGTGAGTCAAACCTCTTCATAGAACAGGACGCATTTCCCACTTGTCACTGTTTCATCATGAAGTTTTCTGGGCTGTGGTTGCTCTTGTTTGGTGAGGAGACACAAAAGTTTAAACGTACTATCTGTTGTATCTTTATTTGCCTAACTTTTGCTTTTGTTGACCAGTGTTCGGGAGTACAAAACCCTCAGGTGGAGTTTCCAGAAAGTTTGAAGGAGAAACGCTGAGACTGTACTGGGTTTTGGATTCTTTTGAGGATGTGAAGAACGAAACGATCACCGAGATGTTGTGTAAAAATGAATGTGCAGAGGACGACGTTTTGGTGCAGACTTCAGGCAGAAAAGAGGAGAGAGGCAGATACGCGATCACACATTTTAGGAAAGACTCTCCTTATGTGGACATAGCAGTTGTTTACATCACCAACCTGACAATGTCCGACTCGGGACGATATCGATACCTGTTTGACACACCCGCCAAAAGACACAGCACTGATTTTGTTCTTGAAGTCATCAGAGGTAAGTGTGTTAGATCTGTGTTTCAGGACACATAGAACACTTTAAAGCAGACCTATTGTGCAAAATCGACTTCTCAGAGCTTTTAACCATGTTATATGTAACCTCGAGTAGAGTAAGAGGTCCACACTTATATATTCAGTTATAAAATACTGGCAAAACAAAGGACAAAGGTAGTATATAATGGGAAATATAATTTTTTTATTCATTCAATCATTTTTTAAAAAAAAGCTTTGCCGTAGTTGTTTTTTAATGTGTAAAGAGCTTATGTGAATAGGACTGAGATGCGTTGAGTTTTAGATGTGTCAAGTGCAAAGTGGGAGCTGCCTACAAGGTCTAAAGTGTCTTATGGTCATAATGTCTTGTCAAAGCCTGATCCTGTCAGATCTCAGAAGCTCTGAGAACTGGTCAGTACTTGGATGGGAGACGACTGGGAAAACCAGGTGCCAGTGGGGTCCCAGTGGCAAAAACTTTGTGTCCTTAGGCAAGACACTTCACCCACATTGCCTAGTATGAAAGAGGTGTGAGTGATGGTGGTGGTTGAAGAGGCTGATGGTGCAAATTGGCAGACTACATATATATATATATATATATATATATATATATATATATATATATATATATATATATATATATATATATATATATATACACTTTTGGTCCCGGCCCAGGGGACCCCTGGTCTAAAATGTGTGTGAGATTAGACCACATACGCAAATATAGGCTGCTTAAAATGTTTTTATTAATGCCAAATGAAATATCCAGCACAAATTACAATGAGACATACTTTCATAATTTGTATATATTCACATTTAGTTTGCAGGACCGCAGTTCATCCCATCCATCTGCTCCCACTTTGTGTGATCCTGCTCCCGCCTGCGTCCGCAATGACTTTTCAAAATGTGTGCTACTCTGCACTGTTTTGCGTCGAGTCCCGTGGGCCTCCCACTTGCCCCCCGGGACCCGATGCAAAACAGTGCGGCGCTACTGTGTACCATGCCATAATTAAAATGCCTGAAGAGCTTTTCTATATGGTCATGTATGAAGGGGTTGGGAGTGAGACAGGGAGTGTCTGGCTGCTTTCGTGGCTACCTGAAACACTGAACAATTTTTGAAACTAAGTTTTAAATATCATATCATGGGATTTTAACTAAGAAGTGCAGCATGTGCAGGTCAAAAGACACAAAAGACGACTGGATAGAGTGAGATTAACTTTTTTTCCTGTACGTGGAGACCGTGCAAGAGGTGAGCTGAGGAGCTAAATGTGCCCGAAATATATGAGTTACTTTAAGAGTTACTGACCCTACCTGACCAGTCCTCCTGTTAAACCTTTGACTGAGACACAAAGGCTGCTGAGATAAACTTGAATTTCCCTCGGGATATTCTCTTCTTCTTTTCTTTTCTCTCTGTCTGTTCAAAGTTAGACCTATATCACCCAGCCCCAGACTAAACAAAGGCAATAAATCTGCCGTATTCCCACATTAGCAGTATTTATTTTCTCTGTTTGAGCTGAGTTTAATGTGAACCTTTGTTGTGTTTGTTGAACAGCGACGGAGAAAAACAAACACGATACGACTCCGATTTACACAGCGTCTGCAGGAGAAGATCTGACTCTGCCCTGTGACTTTTATACGTCTGGACAAACGAAGAGCTTCTGTAAAAACGACTGCGTTGAGGACGTGTTGGTGCGGACACACTTACACATGAAAGAAACCGACAGATACGGGATTGAATACAAAGAATTATCAACCAGTTGGAGTTTCATCTTTGTGACCATCACAAATCTGACCGACTCTGACTCTGGAACCTACAGCTGCGCTCTGGACCAGGCTTCAAGAAAATTCAGAATTGTGGTTGAGCAGGGTGAGCAGAGTTTTCTTTATGTATTTTTTGTGGTTGTGTTTCTGACCTTTCTATTCTATGTTTTTTTTTTTTTTTTTTTTTTAGGTATTTTTGAACTATAAAACCACCTGTAATTTTTATAAGTGGGTCAGTCCATATGAAATCAGACATTTTCAATTAATCTTCCCTATGAGCCATCTCAGATTTTGCCGAAAAAATTTCTAAAAATTTCTAAAATGACCAAATGAAACAATCTAAAATTTTACCTCAATCCCCTGAGTCGTTCCTGAGTTATGACCCGTTGAAATTTTGGGGTCATGCTCACTTTTTCTGACACCTTAATTTATAAGCATGTTTGAGAGAACGTAACTTCATCAAAAATAGAGCTAGGAAACTGAAATTTTTATCAATATAGATTCTGAATCTGTTGTCAAATTTTGTGTGTCTTTATTCTGGGCCCCTAAAATCTCACATTTGGTTGCAGCTCAATTTTTGTATTTATTTATTTATTTATTTTTCTTTCAGTTTTTGAGGTCCAAGATCTATTTTCTCCAAGCAGATATTTACAAACTAACTGTTGAACCTGAATATTTGAGAGAATGACAATAATACAAATTTTCAGCTTCCTAGATCTATTTTTTATGAAGTTACGGTCTCTCAAAAATGATTATAAATTAAGGTGTCTGAAAAACTGAGCTTGGCCCCAAAATTTCAACGGGCCATAACTCGGAAACGACTCAAGGAACTGAGCTAAAATTTTAGATTGTTTCATTTGGTCATTTTAGATTTTTTTTTTGTTTTTTTTCAGCAAAATCTGAGATGGCTCATAGGGGAGGGCGGCTGATTTCATATGGACTGACCCAAATGTGAGATAGAGCTGTTTAATATCGAACTGTACTGGCATTAGTACAGTTGTCCTTCGGTAATTCCACTCATTGCCAGACACTAAACCAGGTCTAAACCAGGATTAAACCAGGTCTAATCCCAGGTCTAAACCAGGTCTAAACCAGGAGTAAACCAGGACTAAATCAGGTCTGAACCCAGGTCTAAACCAGGACTAAACCAGGTCTAAACCAGGTCTAAACCAGGACTAAACCAGGACTAAACCAGGTCTAAACCCAGGTCTAAACCCAGGACTAAACCCTAAACCCAGGACTAAACCCAGGACTAAACCAGGACTAAACCAGGTCTAAACCCAGGTCTAAACCAGGACTAAACCAGGTCTAAACCAGGACTAAACCAGGTCTAAAACAGGATTTAACAGGACAAAACCAGGACTAAACCAGGTCTAAAACAGGATTTAACAGGACTAAATCATGCTGCGTGGACCATGTTTCCTCCTCTTCTATCAATAATATTTTTAAAGACTCGGCCTTTTCATTTTCTTTTAGCAAACAAAACATCTTATGTGAAGATTTCCTCGTCTTTGCTTCTCTACAACAAACCAAGTAATCCAAAGTATTCAGATTACATTACTCACCTTAAGTAACTAAATGGATTCCAAACTACATTTTGGGGTATGTAATGTGTAATCTGTAGGGGAATACATTTTAAAGGTAACCTTCCCAACACTGATCATAGTTGAACCGTTGTGTCATTTGTGGCTGTACAGAAGCTGGATCTGTCCATGAACCCAAAAGCTGCGCATGGAGTCAGTTCTGTTTCTAACTAAGTCTGATCTCTGCTGCAGAATCTACAGGATTTCTGATCTGGATCCCGATCCTGGCTCTGATCCTGATTGTAGTCATCGCCATGGTGATCATTCTGGCTGTGCATTTTAAGAGAGGTGAGACACATGTCAAATACTCATATAGGAAATAAGAAGTTACATAGTGCACCTTTAAATAAAACAGATTTGAACATTAGCATTAGTACAGTTGTCCTTCAGTTGTCCACAGAGAGCTCCACGTCACCAGAGTCATTTATGTCTGTCAATCATGAATAGAGCCGAGATGACTTTGACAGCTGCTCAAAGTTCGGTCTGTTTTCTACAAAATGACTGTCTGGGCTGCTCACTCACTCTGCCTCAGAGTTTGTCTTGTGATGTTGCTGTGATCTTCTGTGCTCAGCTCTTTCACACAAGTTTTGATGCTGTTTTTCTACTTGGTGAGGAATTACAGCACTTCGACCAGCACTTTTAGCTTCTCCTGCCAATGCGGGTAGAAGAATGTTACCAAAATCTGTGTAAATCAGCCGCAAGGTTCTGAAGGCATCTAAAAAACATCACATCGCACTGCTCAGTGTAAAAAATATTTATCGAACAATGGTCGTGGAAGATTATTATCAGATACTAAGATTATTATTGTTATCACATAATACTCTTGAACAGGGGTGTTCACACTTTGTCAGCATGCGAGCTACTTACAAAATGACCAAGTTAAAATGATCTACCTAATACAAAACCAAGCAAACTGCACTGAAACACTCTGTGCCCCTTTTTTGGACCCTCCCCCACAGTTTGAGAACCTCTTCTTTAAGAGAACTTCCTCTGGCACTTTACACAAAACTGTGAAAAAAGTGAAGGAAGATTTTTAAACCTGTTTTTTTAAAGTTCCAAACTGGAGTTGCATTTTTTTCTGGTTTTGCAGTGATATTTACCAGCCTCTGCACGTTTACCAAACCAAACGCACATCGTGACAAACACAGATGCATTTGTGCACTTTTGTTAGACAAACTTCAGCCAAATGTGGCAGTAGGTCTGTTCTGTAGATCTGCTCTATGCTGTAGACCTGCTTTGTGCCAACACTGTAACACAAATTTAGACTAGTTTTTGCTTCACGTTTCTTGCTCTTCTAATCAGCCGCACTGTGGGAGGAGCTTGCTTGTGTTCGCTGTACGCAGGAAGGAGCGAGAGCGTGAAAAGGCGAGGGGCGGCGTGCTGACGTGAGGCAGATGGACAGGTAGGATGTTTAGGAAGTTGAACCTGCCCTGTGATGCACGCTGGTACACGAGGGCACACGCTGTCGCAGACGAGCCGTGCACAGGGAGCGTGTGTGTTTGTGACGCGCCGTAGAGTCTCCGCGGGTTTCAAATGAGCGCACAGGCTGCACTGAGACGCCCCACACGCTCCTGCACCCGCTACAAGTTTATTACCAACAGCAGCGGCCGTAATGAAATATGATCACACTTGTTGAGTGTCAGACCTCGAGTGAGAGACAAGACCGAGTCCAAACGCAAGTCCGAGACGAGTACTAAGACACGGCGATCTACCCACACGACCTTGGCGATCGACTGGTAGATCGCGATCGACGTATTGAGCACCCCTGCTCTTGAACCTCTTTGAAATGAGAGTGTCTTCTGTATTTCGAAGTCTTCAGGACAGTGTCTCAGATGTGTGAGAGTAAAGATGCCCCCTCGTCCCGGTGCACAGACCCATAGGCCTGGGCACCACAGACCAGATGTATCAGCCTGTGGGCAGATGTTTGTGGTTGACAGTGCTTCTCCACAGGACTGATGAAACATTTTCTCTAGTAATTGTATTTTATTTTATTTGTTTATTTGCCAAGGGGCTAAGGACGACCAGTCGCCGAGCCTCACAGCTGAGGGGATGCCGAGACACACAGGAAGTCCAACCCTGGAGGTAGAGTTACTCTCTGATTTTTAGTGAATCATTTTTATAAATTTCTCTTTTTCAGTTTTAGTATGATTTTGTTTCACAGAACAATTATGAGAACTTCACAGAGTTTTCATCTGAAAACGAGTCACATTACCAAGGCCTGGACCTGGACAGAATGGAGACGCCCTACAGCGACCTCTACTGGACAAACATGTGAAAAAACACTGTGATAAATACCTCCACAACCAAGACGTAACAGCCTGAACTCTGCACTGAACACGATGTACGGTTTGTAAAAGTCTTATTCCTCTGTCTGTGGGGAAACACTTTTAATCTTGCTTTTAAAACACAAAAGGAAACATTGCTCATCACAACAACTTTTACTTTTTTCGCCTGTTATGGTAACTGTGATTCAGGGCACAAACGAGGCAGTTCATATAAACGGTTCAGATTTTTCACATTTAATCTGTTAGTGGATATTCAGGGCATTCGTTATTTCTGTTTTAGTTTAGACATTATGCACTGACATTATTTAATTTGAAAATGCCCCTTGACGTTCCAGCTGAGAGACACTAAAGCAGAACTATGGGCAGCACAACAGACATAATTAGTTTATTTCCTTTTTTGAGGAGGTTAGTTTTCAGCCATTGGGATAATTTTAGCTCAAATTATTTTTATATGGTAAAAATGGGAAATGAAAGTCGTTTTTCTGTTGTTGTGACTGAGCTGGTTTGTTATTTAAAGACGAGGTGAGATAAAGGACACTTCAACTCAACGCACAACATTTAATCTCAACGCACAAACTCAGAAACATGTGATTTAAAGAGCCCGTATTTTAAGTTAAAACTACCACTTCATGACATCACAAGGTGGAAAATGTATAGATTTGATCTATACAACACATTTTGAGAAAAAAAAATAATTAGTAAGTGTGATCTATGTATACTTCATCATTTTTTATGATTGTATATATTGAAAATGTTTTAAAATGTATGAGTGGTGTAATACTACATGACAATCAGTGATGGAATGTAACAAAGTAAAAGTAAAGTATTGTACTTTTGAGAGTAGGTGTCTGTACTTTCTACTCTTTCTACTTTCTACTAGTATTTTTTTTATTATTGTGTGAGACCTGCTGAAAAGGCTGAGGGTTTTATTTTTAACATGTTCATAGTTTGAGCAAAAAAAACAAAAAAAAAAACAAAAAAAAAAAAAAAAACAACATAATAATAATAAATAATAATATTTTTTAAAAATCAGTACAAATCTTTATTAAAATCACTGCATTTAGATTTTTCAGATACTTTTACTTTTCTTTAACATTAACGATAAATTTTGTGCTTTCTTTATCATTATTATCAGTTTGTACGACCATAAATGAAAACAAAACTGGCATCTTTAAAAAACTTTAAAAAAAAAGAAGAAAAAAAAAGGAAAAAGAGTGATTGTATTTCTGTTCGAGGGGTTAGTTTATGGAACATTCTCAGTGATGATTTTAAGAAAGACTGACTCTGTGTAATACTTAAATTTTAAAAAGTGTATAAAGCATTATGTTTTGAAAGATATAGAGCTTTGGAATGAATGAATTATGTATTAAATTTTGTTTGTTTAAATTTATATTTTGTCTCTTATATATTCAGTAAGTTGTAAGTGAAATTGTAAAAGCAAACTTGCTGTTTTTGCTGCTGTTTTTTTCTTGGAATTCTGTCATTATTTTAAAGGATTTGATATTATAAGTACTTTTAACTTCAGCCTAAATTCTTTCGGTCATGATCCATGGGGTTGTAATTTGTTTTGTTTTGTTTTGTAGTGCTACAAAATGAAATAAAATTACTACTACTACTACTACTACTACTACAGTAACTTTTACTTAAGTAACAAAACTGAGTACTTCTTCCACCTCTGGTAACAATTCTGGTACTTCTTTTGTCACATCTGCTGCCTTTTCCCAATGAGGAAGTGAAGTGAAAAAGGAAAGTACTCAGTTCAGTTTTAGTTTTAAATCTATGTATAGCTCTGTTTCTGTGAAATTACTATGATGCATCATGTGACAAAGTTGGCCTTTGTTCCATTTTAAATTCTTTAATTTAGTTTCACACATGAATTTGTTACCATGTCCAACAATACAGTTACATTAATTCTTAGTTCTTTCTTTTTGTTAATTATCACATTAGACATTGTTCATTTAAATATACTTTGTTTATTCATTTAAAGTTTCTATATTCATCATACTCACCTGCGGCTCCACATGGTCCAGACTAAAGAGCGAGAGCCGACGTGCCTCATGTTGGACATTTTTAAAGACTTTGGAGGAGGTCGTAGGTTGGACCATGTGGAGGGAAGAACTGGTTTAAAGGTTGTATAGAGGATTTTTTAAAGAGAAATACAGTGACCGTCCTTGTGCGCGTTCAGAATTACTGTTGAAGTTTCCTGTCTAGAGGTAATTTATCGACCGACGCGTCAGTTTTTAGACCCTTCGTCTGTTTCATTCGCACCATCACTGGAAGGAATCTCCAAGAATCACCTCAGTTTAGCTTCGCTCCTTTTCTCAGCGACCTCAAAAATGGACTTTCTTTTGCGGCGAACTGGTCGTGGATTCTCGTCCACCATCGTGACAAACTTTGTGCGAAATGCGAGGAAACTACAGTTTGAAAAAGCCTTTAAGAACCTCTACATAAACCACATAATCCCCGCGCGCCGACAAGTCAGTTACACTAGGGAGTTTGATTGACAACCTAACAGCCAATAGAAAATGAAGGAACCTCGTTTTCTATTGGCTGATGTTTATCTGTCCTCACTACGTCCACAGTTGATAGATTTTCATTCTTTTTTTTTTGGTCATCATAATTACAAAGCTGCTGCGTCTCTATAATGGTATTTTAATCTTTCATTGACAATTTGAAACAAAAAAAAAATCCTCCATACAACCTTTAAGTTCTGTTTCATTATTTTTTGTGTATTTGCTTTTTATAGTTATTTTCAACACTGTTTAGTTTATGTTAAACATTTGGATTTGAAACGAGGCATAGGCCCAAATAAACAAAAATCCTAGCTCTGCCCTGATGAAGACCAGGTTGATTGAAACATGTCGGCTTAAATAAAGGCCTTTTAACTATATTTTTCTTGTGCGACTTTTTGCCTGGAGTCTGTTGTGTTTTTAGTTTTGATCCTTTTTCCAAGAGCGCCCTCTACCTGCTCCTACTGATTGGAACACCCGCAGCAAACAGCCACGTTTTTTGTTATTTCTTAAAGGTTGTATAGAAGATTTTCCAAGGAAAGAGAAATGCAGCGACTGTTTGTCCTTTTTTTTAAATGTTGCGCTTCGCACCTTTTCCCCTTCTCTTCTTCTTTCAGCAATGTCAAAAACTGACTTTCTTTTGCGGCGAACCGGTCATGAATTCTTGTCTGCCATTAAAACAAAATTTGTGCAAACTGAGAGCTACAGTTCAAAAAAGACGCCAAGAACCGCTAAATTTGAACCACGAACATAAACCACACAATCCCAGCGTGTCGGCAAGTCAGCGACGCTAGAAATGTAGGGAGTTTGATTGACAACCTAACAGCCAATAGATAAAGAGGTAGCCTTGTTATCTATTGGCTGATGTTTATCTGGCTTCACTACACTACACACTTCAGTTGATGGATTTTCATTCTTTTTTTTTTTTTTTTTTTTTTTTGGTCATCATAATAACAAGGCTGCTTCTTCTTTATAATTCTATTTTTGATCTTTTTGAACTTTAAAATTTGGAAAGTTACCTGTACAAAAACGGACACTCACCTGGGGGAGGTGCTTTTGCTGGGGGAGTATAAAAGCGAGTAGGTGTTAGTAATTGGAGGGAGAGATTCTGTGCAAATGAAATCTGTGTATCATTCGTTCATTTGTTTTTAAATATAAAACCAAAAATAAGAAAACGAAAAAACAACTATTTTCTTCATTATTTGTCTCTAAAACCAAAATGAAAAAACAGATAATGATTAGTTATTTCAGTTTTCAATTTTGTGTTTAAATGAATAATGGAAAAAACAGATAATGGCTATTTCCCGTTTCTGTGACTTAAACTGCGATGCCGGACTTTTGTGCTGCATACGAACTGAACCAGGACTAAAACAGGTCCAGGACCAGATCAGAACCAGACCAGGACTGAGACTGGGACCAGACCAGAGCTGAAAACGGTTTAGTCCTGGTTTAATCCCGGTTTAGTCCTGTTCATGACAAGTCTTTGGGAAACAACGTCCTATATTATGCAAAATTTAAGCCACGTGGGATTGTTCCTCCCTCATCAAAAACAGACCTGGAGTTGTGTTTTGTTTCCTTCACATGTTTGAGTAACCCTTTATTTTTAGTCTGTCTGCATCTCCAAAGCTCAAAATGCTCTGTTCCAGCTTGTGAACGAATGAAACACAACTCTAGGTTTATTTGTGATGAGGAAACAATATTATAACATCGATCAGAAAATAGCTTAGTATGAACTCTATGAAATTATGTATTACTTTTGGATTTTTTGTGTTCAGCTGAGTGTAATCCCTCTCTGTGTCCATGTGAGGGCGCTGTTGCTTCACCGTTGGCGCGCTCCCACGTCTTACTCACATGGAAAGTATGCGCACGTACATTGGGGAGGGGGTGTTATTGTATTAAAGCTTGTTGCCAATGGGGCTCTATGATATTTCAATATGCAAGACTCGCTCACACATGAAAACGCTTCAGCACATCGAAAAATAAAGAAACGGAGATGAAGAAGTGTGCGAGCGGTGCCTTAAATGACACGTTGGGGTGTAGGAAATTACAGCGTTAAGCCGAGGGGCCGTCCATAAACAACAACGGTCTCTCATTTACGCGGTTTAAATACAGAGAATCACTGTGTACTTCATGTGTTTGGTGTGAGACAATGGATCAGAACGTGAGGGGGCACTTGAGGTGTAACTTTTTGGTTTGGGGGGGCTGCTTGTTGCTATGGATACGTCATTGTCCTGCCTAGAATGTTCCATAGTATGACATTAAGCAGCTCTACCTTACATTTATTCAATTGCAGGTGGTTTTAAAGCTTAAAAATACCAAGAAAAACAAATATTCGAAGACGGTGAGCGGGGTCGCCTCTCCACAGATCTGACCTGTAACTTGGGCTATGTTCAGATTGCAGCCTGAAGTGATCCAAATCCATTTTTTTCACCCCTATGTGACCTGTAGTTGATCTTTTAATGACAGTCTGAAAGATTTTTATGTTATTGCCGGCGTTTGTCTGTTTGTTTGTTTGTTTGTTTGTCTGTTAGCAACATAACTCAAAAAGTTATGGACCGATTTTGATGAAATTTTCAGGATTTGTTGGAAATGTGAAAAGGAAGAACTGATTTCATTTTGGGGGTGATCCGGAAGAAATCCTGGATTCTGGATCACTTTGAAATTTTAGTTAACATTGTGGTAAATGGGGCCAAAGATTTAGTTTCTCAATATCTCAGTTAATTATTGACCAAACCCCATGAAATTTGACTCAGGGATGGACAGTGGGATCCTCTTTCATATTCCAAAGGCTGATCCGGATCTGATCCAGAAGACTGATTTTATCGCAATTTATATAAAAAATGGGGGTAGTCCTTGGCGGAGGTCTGCGCTCTCTGACTGCTTTTCTAGTTTCAAATGTTACCGAGGCCACTTGTTGTCAGGTTGGCGCCACCTAGTGCCTCCGCTCGATTTAATTTCTCTCCAGCGACTAAGGCAGGAATCCGGAAGTCTGGAAGTTGTAAACCGCGCACCGGCCAATCAGCGAAGAGCTGTGAAGTGCCTGTCTGGGTCCCTTTTGTGGTACAACACAACAGTAAACAAAGCGATTGAGGTGGATGTAGATGAAGACAGACATTCTGTGTTCGCAACGATTCCCGAGATCGAGGATTTAAAGCTGGAACAAAAGAGAATGTTTGGTGAATTTTATCAAGGGGAAAGGCGTTATTGTCCTTCTTCCTACGGGATTTGGCGCATCACATACGTCACGGGCCTCCAGCTCCTCCTGCAGCCATCTCAGTTTTCATCTTTGTGTGTACGAGCCTCAACCTCCAGACCCCTGCTGTGACTGGAAGGGTTCAGTTCAGCTGGCACCTGGTTCCTCAGAAGTTGACTGGTGGAAACCGGTAACACCTGGCCAATCCTGGGCTACACCTGAAGCACCGGCCCTATAAAAGGACACGCCCCCT